ACAATCATTTACAATCGGTCGACGAATTATGCATGCTAGCATCTGCAGCATGTTTCATACTATTGTTTTTCTTATTACTAAGACACAAGTAAATGGGAGTTCCTTTGGTCTCCCAATCTTCGTTTATGGTATAAAACTACCCTTGTGTTACCGGATTTTTATCTCACTGAAATCTGGGAGTTTCTCTATTCTGTTCGCCATCTTTTGGTTGAAATAAATGATATCTGTAGGCAAAACCGAACCGTTAGCATTGGTCTAGATCTTTCATTATGCTTTTGGCACGTGTCTCATTGCAGTGTGATTGGTTTTCGAATGCTAAAATCTTTTACCTCGAACAACCCTGCTCAGCAACGGTCAAAGACACTGATGAAGAATGTTCGATTTTTTTCCTTCCGCAAAACGGACAGGCGTCTTTGTGTGCTTTGTTCAGAACGGACATCTATTGTGTAACAAAGTGCCCAAAGTCTTTTCGCCATCAATAATTTTGTGTTTTGGGCAAAGCACAACTTGTAGAGTGCTCCATTGCCTTTGTGGAGAAGAGAAGTGAATCAAAGGGCGGAAGATAACCTAATGAGTTGAAAGGCGGAAAAAACCAGAGAAACGTCTGGAAATTTTTGCATATGTCTTGATCGAACATTAAAATGCTTTGAGTAACGTAGTTACCTGTTTTAGCGTGAAGCCTTACCACCTGAACTAATGACGAAAGATCCTGACCATAGGCAAATTTACCGATTCGTTCGTACGCTATTCCATTCTGCTCAACTTACCGCAGAATGTGCAATCATAACATTGGTAGGTACTTCAGAGCTTCTTATTTACCTTACCACTGTTCATACCATTGTTCAGGTTTACATAGAACGCTTGTTGAATTATGCTGAAATGGATTTATGCCCATCAAACTGGCGACGGGTCGTTTTGGGAGCTATCATGTTAGCGTCAAAGGTGGGCCAGGCTGCTAATTTACGTAGTAAATCAGATTATCAATGCTCGGCGTTTTTATAAAAGAACAAAATTTGTTGTTTCCCGACCGTAATCTGTAATTCTGCAGGTTTGGGATGATCAAGCCGTATGGAATGTCGATTATTGCCAGATACTGCGAGATACCAATGTTGACGATATGTAAGTCGTTACTTTATGATTATTTGCGATAAATTTTGGCTTTCTGTGAAGAAGATCTTTCTTTATGACTTTACACTACATTTCATCGTTTCGCTTCCATCGTGCGAGCTCATTTGGACTGAAAAAGAATGGAAAATGATGTGAGAACTGTAACTGAGTTTTTACCGTTTTAGGAATGAATTAGAACGACGCTTCCTTGAGTGCCTTGACTTCAACATCGAAGTACCCTCATCTGTTTATGCAAAATATTATTTCGATTTGCGAACTTTGGCCTTGGCAAATGATTTACAACTACCATTACAACCACTTTACCGAGAACGTGCGAAACGTTTAGAGGTAACTCGATCATATTTCAATTTTTTTGGGTTTTGTCTTGTATTCCATGTTTTTGTTTAGGCTGTCAGTAGAGTATACGAAGATAAATTTAACAACTTCAAGCGAAGCTACTCAGCCGAACGTATCCAGACGGAAAGAAGAGCACCTACTGTGCTTTCATAAGCCTTGGTTTTACCACTTTGAAATTTGCAAGGCCAGGTTCTTTTCCATAAACTTTAGTCAAATTGTCTTCATATTATTGTTTTGATTATTTGTGGTTTTCCTCGCTCACTATTGAAGATTGTTATTTTGTCCGTTTTTTTATTTTGTCCTACTTATGCAAAATTTTTCTATCTCCCTAACGTTTCCTCTCCCCGTAAATGCTGGTTTTAAATTGTTGTTCTGATGCTTTTTGTGCAAATCATGTTCTCCGTTTGCCTAATTCTTAGATAATTTATTCATAATTTTGCTGTTACGAGTGATTTTTTCATCATCACTCCATAATAACGAATGATGTGCAGAGCTTCAAAGATGGCCATCTGCTATTCCTAGGATTTTCATGATCGGTGATGTAAAACTAAAAAGAGATCGACTAATAAAGTTTTTGAGCACTAATTGCTTTTTGTGCAGATTTGTTTTCGCTATGTCATATTGCACTATTATTTATCGACATTCTAATAGATAGCGTCCGAGTATTTTCGCATTTTACGTGTCAGTTCACGAAAGTCATTTATCGATTGCTTTTCCATATATTCATAGCACGAATTCATACATGAGTCTCAAGATGGACTAAACGTCCGCTGTTTTTTGCTCGTTGTCTAAGAGACTTTACAAGTGCGATCCGATTAGGGAGTTGTCAGATTACGAGAGTGTTGAGAGTGACTAATTCGAGACGAAGAAGACCGCAATGGCGTCCAGTCCCTGCGCCTGACGCCTTTACTCTTATCTGCATCGGAATTAGTACATGCTTCGTCCGTACATTCTCTCTGTTTCCTATCGTGGTAGAGCATATGGATTCTAAGCGCCTGAGAATACTGAC